AGCTGTAGTGGCGGCGGCGTTTGAGCAGAGAGAGTGGAGAGGAGATGGGTTTGATTTTAAAGTTTGATATTAGAGAGATTTGGTAGGGATCGTATATAAATTAATTTATATTGTATATAGATATAAAAATTAAATTATTAATTAAAACCTGATTTTTGTATTATGAAAGTTGATTCTTGATTTGTGATAATGGAAATCTAAAATCAGGGTTAGTTGTAATTTCCTTTTATAAAAAGCACTTTTATAAAATTAGCCAAGCAGGTCCAAAAAGGCTTTTGAGTCTTAAAAGTTCATTTTGACTTTTTAAAAGTAATGCCAAACTGACCCTTACTCTATCTAATATACATCTCCCAAACACACCCTAAGGTTCCAATAAGAGAATACATCTCCCGCAATATCGACACACAGTATTAGATCCTCGGAAGGCAAATGATATCTCTGCAACCCCTCGCTAACCTCAAACCCGCCTCTCTGTACTTCCACCGCTTTTCTTCAAAACCTCGTACAAAATTCAAACCCATTACAATTCACTCTCTCCTCCAGTACAATCGCAAGCCCCAGCTGGCGGGGGATACCCCCAGAGTGGTGGTAATCACCTCCGGCAAGGGTGGCGTTGGCAAAACCACAACCACCGCCAATATCGGCCTCTCTCTCGCACGGCTTGGATTTTCAGTCGTCGCCATTGACGCCGATGTTGGGCTTCGCAACCTGGACCTCCTACTAGGCCTTGAGAATAGAGTGAATTATACTGTTGTTGAGGTACTTAATGGGGATTGCCGTCTTGACCAGGCACTAGTAAGAGATAAGAGATGGTCTAATTTTGAGCTTTTATGTATTTCCAAGCCTAGGTCAAAGCTCCCACTTGGATTCGGGGGAAAGGCATTGATTTGGCTTGTTGAAGCCCTTAAGGCTCGTGAAGAGGGGGCGCCGGATTTTATAATTATTGACTGTCCGGCTGGGATTGATGCTGGGTTTATTACTGCGATTACTCCCGCCAATGAAGCGGTTTTAGTGACCACGCCGGATATTACTAGCCTCCGCGATGCGGATAGGGTCACTGGGTTATTGGAATGTGATGGCATTAGGGATATTAAAATGATTGTGAACCGAGTAAGGACGGATATGATAAAGGGGGAGGATATGATGTCGGTTTTGGATGTTCAGGAAATGTTGGGATTACCTTTGTTGGGGGTTATCCCCGAAGATACTGAGGTGATTAGGAGTACGAATAGAGGGCATCCCTTGGTTTTGAATAAACCGCCTGCGATAGCAGGGCTGGCATTCGAGCAGGCTGCGTGGAGGTTGGTGGAGCAGGATAGTATGAAGGCTGTGATGATGGAGGAGGAACCCAAGAAACGTGGGTTTTTCTCATTCTTTGGAGGGTAGACTATACTAGTATAATGTGTGATGATTCTGTTTTGGAAAATTGGAAGTAAAATGTGTATAGGCTAAGGTTTGGCGTTCTTACCTTTGTTTTATGATTTCACGGTTCTTTTCTAAGACTTGTAGAATTAGTTTTATGTTCAGAACTTGTAGTTTTTTATTTGTCATGATTATGAGTTCAAATGCATGTATTGTGTGCTTAGAAATAATTTTGGTTTTATACAAAAGTTGAGGTTCTGGAACTGCTCCTGTAATCTTGATTTATTTCTATGCATTTGATATTTGATGCTGGCTTCCATTGTCCATATCTGGTTTGGATGTGCAAGAAATTATTTCACTTATTTAGGTGTGTAAGCATGCGTGTGGTCTTTATTAGTTTTAAAGTTATGCTTGTGTAATTCTGAAACCTTTGCCCGATTTTTTTTTTTTTACTTGATTATTTGATGAATACATCTTACTAATCAGCTTGATCATGGATGGTTGAAAATGGTGAGATTTAACTGCTGGGGAGAAACCAATTCCATGGTCTAGGATATCCATTTCAGATGGAACGAATATTGAAATTACCAATTCCAGGGCCTAGGGTATCCATTTCAGATGGTATGAATATGGGAATTAATTTTATAAATTGTCAATCAAAAGTAATTTCTGGGCTTCATTGGAAGTCTTGCAACTGAGTCAAGATGTAGTATGTTAGAGTCTCTTGCCAGACTTGCTAAATTGGCATCATTTAATGTATTTTACACCTTAGGTTTGACAAATATGTATTACTGTAGATTTGTGGTTCATTTGTGATGCCAAACATTTTGAAGCAGGCATTCGTGAACGATTAACATTGTTATTTGGTTCCATCCGATCAAATTGAGCTAGCTCTTCACATAATCTTTTGGTATGCTTGATTATTCTTTGAGATAATTGCATCCTTTTGAGGTGCGAGATTCAGTGTGGACTTGCATTAGTGTTAGCCTGTCTAAGCCATTTCTGAGTCATCTCATGATACCCTCTCAAGACCCATGAAACAGTTTTTTTCAAATTTTATTCAAGAACTTAGTTTCTTGTGCTAATTTGAATCTTTATTATAATTTAGTTGGTGCATGAAAAGTGATATTCAGGAATTCAATTTTTTTACTGGCGCTGTTCCCATCATCGCATTCCAATGCCGTGTGTTTGGACTCTTTTCCTCAAGTGGAGCTCTGTCTTAGGTGTTTTGTCCTACTGAGGAGTTATGAGCCGTGCATGCTAAACTTAATAATTCTTACTTACAGATTTTGTGTTTTTCGTTTTGGGGGTAAGTTAGTGATGGCTTGCATTCAACGCCTATGGCTCGATGCGACCAGGTAGTTGAATGCTGCTTTTTGTTCCATGTATATGCATCATTCCTGCATTTAATTCAATTTTTGCGGCTCATTACTAAGTTATTGATAGATCGGCACATGTTTAATTCTTGTTCTAATGCTCTTCCTTATGAAGTTTATCCCACAAGCTCATTTGGTGAAGCAGGAGTGAATGGGACTGTAAAAGATTTCACTTCTCATTTTTTCTGGCTCCTTTTCTAGAGAGGGCAAAAAAAAGGCCTGGGGAAATTAGTAAAATTGCCTCTTTTATATGTTAATGTCAATTATACCCTTTTTGTTGACATATTTTATGTGCCGTTCGAAAGTTTTTAAGAGTATTAATTTTTGTGAGACGATTGACTGGCATGCTAGTATCCAAATTTCGACTAATTATGACATTTTCAATCGTTTGAGGTCGACTATTCAAGATAGTTCTAATAGGAACAGTTCGACTTGTTGACTTCAACTTGTATAGAAATCAAGATTTTAATCTTCGCATGACTAAGGGCTTAAGTTCTTAACCTTGTCTAGTCTATGTCGTTAATTTTTTTCATCTAATTTTTATCCTCAAGATTCCCTTTAACTAGCACAATCCTTGAGGATTTTCATCCAAAAATTCTGAAAACTTTGTTTAAAATGAGCTTAACTATACATTTGTTTTTTTGTTTCTCATTTACAAAATACAATGAAAAATTAAGGGTCCGTTTGATTGCAAATAGTGGAAAGAAAATGAATTCAGGAGAAAATAATTGTCTTGAAATTGTTTTGTAGGGAATTGTTAATTAAGTGTGTTTAATTGGTATAATTTTTCACTCGAAAAATTTTTAAATTTTTCACTCCGTTTGACTTTGTTTTACATTAAAATTGTCTATTAAAGTAATATTTTTTTTTCCACAATTGGTTATAAAATTTGTTTCCATTGTCAAAATGTAAAAAAAATGAAATTTTTTTATCAAAGTTTAGTGTTCGTTTGACTTTGTTTTACATGAAAATTGTCAATTAAATTGAAATTTTTTTTATAATTGGTTATGCAATTTGTTTTCATTATAAAAATAAAAAATAAACGTGTAATTGCACTTTCCCACCAAAATGGTGGGAAAATGCTTTCCCTCAAATAATTGTCAATTAAATTGAAATTTTTTTAATAATTTGTTATGCAATTTGTTTTCATTATAAAAATAAAAAATAAACGTGTAATTGCACTTTCCCACCAAAATGGTGGGAAAATGCTTTCCCTCAAATTAAGGAAAAAGGACACGTGGGGGTGGGAAAATAGTTTACCTAGAAAATATTGTCTATCAAACAAGCTAAAAGCAATAAAATGGAAATTTTTTTTCCAACTTCCATGTAAAAAATGACTTCATCAAACGAGGTCTAAAATCTTTTGACACCAATACCATATTAGAAGATTTTTTGGATGGAAGTGGTGCCACAATGGAAGGTTGGTAATAAAAAAGATGATAAAAACGTTAAAAGGCGCAAGTATAATAATAAGTCCTTGTTTGACATCTATTTTTTTTCTCATTCTTCATTTCAACCACACATTCTATTAATAAAATAATATTACACATAAACCCAAAAATTTTCCTTACTTTTTAATAATAAATTCTTCTATCAATCACTATTCCGAATCAAATTCTTCTCCAAAATGGGTGTCAAACACAACCTAAGTAAAAATTAGGGATATTAATGTAATTAAAATGTAGTAGATTTATAACAGAACGAGGTGTCAATATAGCCATTCTTTTGCCTATTTTCACAAAAATTAGCCATTTACTAGATGGGACATTTTGCAATGACCATTAAGTGGTATTTATCTTTTATTTACTGAGTAGTATTATTCATCATCACTAGTGCTAAGCACTAGTTTAGATGGCAACACATGATAGATTCAATTAAATGAATCTTATAACATATTTAATTATACTAATTATTTAATGCCACCTACATGCCACATAGACTGGTATTCTAGCACCACTTGTGCTAAATAGCATTATTGTTTACATTTTGCATACCGTCCACGTTATACAAATTATTTTACCAAAGATGCCATTGGTTTTTGAGAGAAGCTACTTGCACAATTCGAGACTATCCAACAGTCATCCAAATAACAACAGGACATACCGTGTTATGGACCAAAATTGATTTAGCCCCTGTTTGAGCTACATTATTTTTTTCATTCTCATTTTTCTACTCATTTTCAACCACACAATCTTTAATAAATAATATTTTCCATCACATCAATAACTTTTTCTTTTTTTTCAATCACATATTTCACATCACATCACTTCAAAAAAGTGCACTCTCATTTTAATGTGCACCAAACGGACTCTTAATATTAAACTCTTAAATGTATTTTCAATATCACAACACTCTTGTTAATATTCAAGTGAAATTATTTGATACCAGACTAATGTACAAAGCAAAAGAAAAAACAAAAACATAATTTCACCCGCATTATTATTAAGATTAATTAGCATTTGAACTTTCAGAACCAAACAAAATGTTTCTCGTTTTCAATGTTTGAAGATGCAACAAAATAAAACAGAGTAAATAACACGAAAATGACCAATTGCTCAAGAACTAGAACCAGTATACAAAATATTGAAATCTGTTTCTCCACATCAGGAATGGATACTGATTTGACTCACAGTTTGCAATCATGTTTCATTTCCTTTTCGACCCCCTACTAGAAAAAATCAGCACGACCTCTGTGTATTTCGTCTAAATATTCAACATGTCCACAAATATGTATGTTTACATTGCAAGATCGACAAGGGAAAGAGGATTTATGTGATCACAGGTACATAATTATATATCCATATGCCTGTTAACAGCTTGCAAGAATGATAATCATACAGTTGCACAATTTACCTCTCTTCTATGTTTTATTTGAAATGGACTGCCTCCGGCATGCATAGACGTTTAATATCTCCCTTAAATGGTGTCTTCATAGTATGAAGCTTTATCTCATATAGCTTCGGCCAAAGCTTTCCTGTCACTGTACACAGATGGTGTATTTAGAACGAGCAGCAGAAAAAAAATGATTCCATCAGGTACAAATAAGAAGCAATATGAACAAAATGGAACTCACCGAAAATACGGTTTCCTTCTTCATCCCATGCTATGCCATTCAAGACATCGATACTCTGAAATTGGGTTAAAAGAAAATTCTTAGATTTATAAGTAAAATTAATTGAGTATAACTATTCAGATAGTCAGTTGTTGTATACCGTTTTGCCAGCTGCAACCAACCCTTTCCTAAAAGCACATTAAGAATTGATTAGACAATTTTGTCCAAGAAAATGTCAAGAAGAAAATGAATGTGTATTCAGTGAAATCAAGCAAGTTGAGTAAAGGAAGAACCTCAAATTAGGAAGGAGAATCCATCCAATTACAGCACCATCTTTACCTGATATTCTAGCAATGCAGTCGGTCTGCATATTGAAGGAAAACAGTTAATCCGAGTAAGGTTCAACAAAGGAAAAGAATATCAGTCAAGGTAGAAAAATCAGGTTAGTGAACACGTGCTGAAATTATTCATAACATTCTTCACAGAAGCAAAAAGACAGCGTACCTGTTTTCCTTGAAGCAACTGTATAATAAACCATATATCTACTTAGGAATACAAAATTCACTGGAGTGGCTTGTCATGCAATTTAATGTTTA